GACGGCGGGCAGCGGCGGGCGACGAAGAACTGTGGCGCCGGACAGATATATATTACGAGACAGAAACCAGAGCGGGATCGACCCGCTCTGATACCAACTTAAGAGTGAAAAGAAATAATTCTTGAGGGCTTAATTGATCCCTCTCACAATCTTCTATTTATAAGAATAAATTGATACACAAATACATGATAAATAAGGTAACTCTAGACACAATATAATCATGATAAATAGGGTAATCCTAGACACAATATAATCATGATAAATAGGGTAATCCTAGACACAATATAATCATGATAAATAGGATAATCCTAGACACAATATAATCATGATAAATAGGGTAACTCTTGACACACTATAATGATGATAAAATAGGATAAATATCCTAACAAAAAGCAACAACAGTGAATACTCAAGAGATGTAGATACTTGCCTGACGTGCAGATGCTTGTGATATCCAAGAAGGTAGAAGACAAGGTGTGTTATTCAAAGCATCATATGTGGTCTCTTTTGCTTTTCCACAATCGACCACAAAAACTATGTCATTGATTGTTATACTTGCCTCAGCCATATTTGTAGCAAGTATTACTTTCCTTATATTTGGAGGTGGTTTCTCAAATATGAGTTTCTACAAAGAATACATAATGCAGGATTTTAAATAATTTAACTCTAGACGTGACAGAATGAAATCAACAGGGAAAAAGGATACTCAATTATCAGTAAAATGCACTTACAAACAGAACATGAGATAAATATTCTATTATCATCATAAACCTCAGTACTATCTACCATCAATTAATTTATCATCAATTTGATTGATTCTATATTTATGTTAATGGTATAAAATAGAGTAACTGAATATTCCGTCATTATATTCTCTTCCCAATAAATTGAATGCTTCAGTTGTAATTTAAACACACAGAATTCATCATATAACTTTTCAGTTTCTCTCTTCCAACAATAAGAAAAAAGTACATGAAAACAGATAACTTTATAAATAAGAGAGCAAGAAAAATGAATTGCAAATTAATGACAGGGTCTAAGAAGGCATTCCCAGAAACATACATTACAAGACTTGTTTTTGAACCCAGAAATTCTAATAATGTGATATGCCTATCATATAACAAGATACAAAATGATAAGTGGATCCCTATTCATTTATGTTTGCTGTTTTCTTCCTGTCAAGCCTCCTCCTAATCTACTTTCTCTTTTTTCCTTAATACAATTTATTATCTATCCAAAAACTGTTAGAATAATGAGAGCTGAATAAGGGCAGTTGACAGTCAATTAGTCCATAGTGTTAGAATGGTTATAGAAAACGGGACACTAGATTAGAGTGGGTTTGATACTTATGCATGAAGAGAGAAATCATTTCTGAAGGGCAAATGAGAAATGCCTGGAGAAGAGATTAATATTGTTTGCTGTATACATTTTTCGTTCAATCAATGATATCATTCTTCCCTAACAACATGGTAGTCAAAATCACAATCCAGAATGTAAGATCGTAAGAGTCTATGATATTCTACTCCGTCTCCTATCTCGCTTCAGTTAAAACTCGAGATCTTCACAAATTGTAGTGGATTGCCGTTGTAAATCGCAACTTGTGTAGGACTGGCAATTCTCACAATGCACTCCCTCCCAGTGGCGAGGGAGAAGCTGACAGAGCTCACGGCAGTGCTTCTCTTGACAACAGTGCTTCTATCGGCAACGCGCCTCTCTTGACAATAGCGCCTCTATTGGCGGCACCTCGCAGCAGTGACTCTCATGGCATCAACTTGCCTGTCAATGGCAGCCTTGACACTGGCCTTGCTGTGAAACTCTTCGTGAGGGATGGTGGGAAACAGCTCTAGGGTTTTTCTTAATGGGTTGAAATTGTTTTCTAACCTAAAAAGTGCCCATTTAAGCCCAATTACTTAAAACTGTTACTGCACCCAAAGAATAACACAAAAAAAGGTGCCTCTAGAAACAGCCCTTGTTGCACTGGGAAAAAAATGACTCTGTTAAAACTGGCGTGCACTGATAAAATAAAAGAGTGACTCCCTCCCTTTTATAACTGGGAAAAACTTCCTCAACGTGACTCCCTCTCTTCCCTCAAGTGAAACGCCTGCTCTCCCTTCATTAAAATGTGTTTAGACTACCGCTCTTCCATCTTCAAATTACACAAATTTTCACTTTTTTTTCAGCTATTTAATGTTGATGTAATATTTTATTTTCTATATTATAAAATTCAGTTATAAATTGAGTGGCATAAAATGATTTTTTGTGTGAATATAAATCATGAGTAAATGGAGATGTAATAGCAAACCCAAAGGATCCAACAAAGGAAATAATCAACCTGTTCTGAAGTTGCCATTGAACCATGACATGTTAGAAGTAGAATCCTATTGGGATCTCCTAAAAGAGGATGTGCTTTAAGTTGATCTCTTAGAGAACTTATATCCTCCCATCCGGTCATAAACACTAAGACAGCACCTGGACGTTCCTTACGACATATATGGCATAGAACAGCCTCAATGAGATTGAACCCTATGCAGTCAGGTGCCCAAGATGCCACTGAATCACGTGCCCTGGAGCTGTAGTTCTCAAAGCTTGATTTTGAAAGAGCATCCTGTTCAACAGTATGAAAATCAAAAGTTAATTTTTTCAACATAATTCAGTTTCAGTTTCTAAGACAAACAAAGAACGTCTTGCATAAAAGTCACCACTTAGTGTTGGAAATAGGACAATCAATGTTTGTTATTTTCCTGGTAGTTAACCACGTTCAATGTATCTTATAAAGTTGTGATAATTTAATTGTTCTCTTGAAAATAGCTGAAGCTATTTATCACCTATGTAACCCTTTTGATTATAAATAGATCAATATACTGCGTGGAAAGTCAATCTCAGGCCAATAAAAAAGAACATCTACATTATTTTGGGCAACACAGAAGTTAAACATAGATGCAATTGAAAATATAAACACTCTATGTCATCACTGTTGTGATAAAAAATATTGGTGGGAAGATTGAGAATAAAATTTTGTTTCGGCAGCAAAATAAGCAATAATTGGGAATCTTGTTAATAGGATATTAAGTGTATTACTAGAAAATGTAAGAAGTTGAAGTTATTAGAAGGTTCAAGAGATCTCTTTGTAATTATTACTTTAGGGTTAGAATTGGCTAGGTATAGAGGCTAATGTACTATTTAAAATAAACCAACTGAATAAAAATCCTCTTTCTTTCAGATTAATCCTTTCAAGTGGGAGGATATACAATATCTTTCTATCTTCCTTAATCTTTATTCGATTTTTCCATCTCCTTCCCAGCCGCCCAATGCATTGAAATATAGATGAGGAAACGAAACCAGAATGAAGAGAATGGTAACTTTGCTATCACATTAATAAGTTAAGAAGAGAATGGTGACTATTATATCACATCAATAAGTTAAATGTACAAGAGAATGAAAACATCCCAACCCAAACCACTCATTTGTTGTTGACCGACATGGTAATAGGATCTAATATCAATTGAATGTCTACTAAACATTTTCCAGTACATTTTCAGACTAAACATTTCTATCTTCCAAGATTGCACAAACGCACAGAAAAATCATGAAGAGAGTTTCTTAAGCATCAATTGAACTTATACATATTAAAGGCCAAATGTTTAAGGTTGCAGCACACCTCAACAAGAGAAGTGATCTGATTTTTCCTCTTCCGTGGTGCCAATTGCTTTTGTGTTTTCCACAGTTTCTCTTGACCATAATCATCAATTTGGTTGAAGGAAGTCAACTTGTATCCAGTCATTTCCAACACATCTTCTAAAAAGTGAGCTCTAACAGGATAGGTGAAACCCTGGGCAATGAAAACAAAACAATTGAAACGACCTCGTTCTATGAACAAATATTACAAAAAACAGAAAAAAAAAAAAAAAACTCACAATAAAAGAGCATCATGTATTGCATGAAATGGTTGACTCATTGCAAGTATATTATTTAGTATCTAATAAACTTAACAAATACATTTTCAGCAATTTGTTTCTTTTTTTCCTTTTCTTTCATCAATTATCATCAGAGAAACTGGAGTCATAGAAGCTAGAAAACATTGTTAAAAGGAAAAGGAACTACAGAAACCTTACTGAATGCAACCTATTTGATTATTCTAGTGATTTACTTCATTCTTCTTATATAGCAGCTTAAAAAATGTCTTAAATGCATTAAAGATCAAGCACAAATTTGAACATACAAACTGCATGTGCACACTCATCCACCCAATCACTACCGTACCATGCCTAGCATACAACAATGTGAATGTCAACATTACTAAACATTTAATTGCCTATACACGAGCTTCTATCATTTGGAGTAATTGAAGTTCAACTGCCAACACAAATAAAAGCTCAACTACAAACTAGTGGATCATCTTACCGGAATCCGAAATGTAGGAGCACCTCCAAAATAATTTGAAAACAGCTCAGCATTCAAGGTGGCACTCATTAAAACCAACCTTAAATCCCTACGCCGTGGAAGCAGATCCTTTAGCACAATCAATAAGAAGTCTGAGACAAACACAAACCAACCACCAAAAGCATAAGTCTTCTTAAATACTTCTTTGGCATTATATCATTAACTGATATTAGATTGTCAGTCAGGAAACTACCTTCATTCATGCCTCTTTCATGAATTTCATCGACAAAAACATGGGTTATACCATTCAGATTACGATCACTCAGCAACCTTCTAAGTAATATACCACTGGTGCAAAATAGAAGATGGGTGTTTTTCCCTTTCATTCCTTCTAATCGAACTTTGAAGCCCACCTATCAAAAAACCTCTGTTGTGGTATATCAGCAAGAACAAAGATATTCCCAATTTTAAAATCCCATTCAAAAGCAAAAAGAGTAGTTTATGAATCTTATATTTTCTTCATAATAAATGTGCATCTAAGTTTTCTTTACAATTACATGTATCTGAGTTTTGGTTCATTTCCAGAAAAGCAGAGCTTACTGTTTCACCAAGAGGCTCTCCACGCTCGGCTGACACTCTCTCCGACACTGCCATGGCTGATATCCTTCGAGGCTGGGTGCAAATAATGTTACAAAATGCTCCACGGCCAGACTCTATCTGTGATTCTAATACATATTGAGGAATTTGAGTGGTTTTACCACAGCCAGTCTCTCCAGATATAACTATCACCTAGATTATTATTCATCAAATAAGGTATCAATTATGAATACGTAACCTCAACTGAATTCATACATTCAGTTCATTCATAGTTAAAACCATAGACAGTGATAACATGTTTGATCTGAAAATTACTAGATCGGATTGAATAAGGACAGGTTGAATTTCACTGAGTAAAATTCAATAAAATGGCATAATTATAAGGTTGTAGAGCTGTTAAAACCAACCTACTGCTCATCTCAAGCCTTCCCATCATTTTGAAAAATTATATTGAGTGCATAGCATCTATTAATTTTAAGTCAGATAAAAATACCAACCTAATCATTCAAGCAAAAGGACAAAGGAAAGATTATAAATCAATTTAAAAAAATGTTCTATAAAGGGCATGAAAAGACCAATAAAACAAATTTAAATACCAAAAAAGAAAAATGTGATCTAATTTTGATATGCCTTTCATTGCAAATTTTTCCACAGGGTGTAGTGCTGATTTCAAGGACCTATTAGTGTATTTTAAGTGTTGGTTCAGTCCAATTCAGCTTAAGTTTACCTACTTTTCAGCTGCAGGTAATGCCTGTATGGTAGACAAAGATCTAATTGATCTAGATTTTAGATCATTAAAATCTAACTAAAATACTAAGTGTCAAAGTCCAGTTTCAATCTTCAGTTCTTATCTGTTTATTTTTTATAATGATGTCCTAAAAACCTTGTGGGATTATGGATAGTCCATACAGTGTTTGGTTTTCAAAGTTCAGAGTACTAAAGATGTGATAGCTAACCTGGCACATATATAATGAAACACAATTAGCAAGCATACCTGATTGTGTGCTATAGCTTGAAGTAAACCTTGCTTTTCCATAAATGATGGTAGAGACTTCCGGAACTCCAACATTTTCCTGCCTTCAGGTGATTCCTGTACTCAAAAAAGTACAATATATATAGTTTAAAGCTAAAAGTAGGCAAATTATTTCAAGAACCTTCTGCTTCATTAAAAAGAATAAAAAGAAAAAACCATAAGTAAAATAAATTGAAGTTTTGAGAATCTCAATTCACTAAAAAATGTTTGTTGGCTTAAAATATAGGGATAATGTAAGAAGCCCATTATGCAGACTAGATAAAACTTACAGAAACCACATGCCATACTCCTATACCAAGAGTCAGCATAGCTCTATGCAACACTACAAGCTTGTATCTTGACTCTGTGTGTGCATCTATACACAACCATTTTAACTATCTGGCTCTAGAGTGCTTAATGGCATGAAAATATCTTATGTTCATAGAAGTAGTGCATTTTAAAAACAACAAAAATATGATTATTTGTTTGTAAAATAGCTAAAGTAAAACTTGCGTATCAGCAACCAACTCCAAACTTCATTTGCAAGCTTTTATTACGAACATGCAAATATCTGATTGGTCAGCCTTCAGATAAATCATGAATATTCAAATTTGTATAGCAATTAATACTAAGTTCTTCCATTTGTCAACACACAAGCTTGCAAGCCAGGAAGACAGCAGCAATAGTATCATTTATGACCAAGTAACCAATTTTATTATCAGAAAAATAAAAGGAAAGTTGTTCCGTTTTCCAATACAACAAAACAAAGGAAGACAAATAACTTGCTACAGAAAGGACTGTACAACAAAAAACATAACAGTGGTTGTTGGCCAAGCTAAAAAATTAGAACCTAGTCTCGTGGTACCATTTAATCTTCAGTGTGAGTAATTGTGTATAAGATATAATCTATGCAAGGACAAACACATATTTTCATTATAAGTTAGAAAAACCACACAAACAAACTAATAATTTCGGTATGAAATTAGAGCAGAAAAGAAAATTAACAAATTACAAAAGTAAACCCAACAGACACAGACTCTTAATTTGTGACTAATTCATGCATGTGTGATACCAAACAAAATCTAACAGGAAAATTCAAGAAATCAAACAAAACCTGCCAAGCTCTTTGCATATTGCGCATCCTCAAACTCCTCTTTTGGAGAACCTTTTCCATGACAGATTCATCCACCAAAGAATCATCATTTTCGTCAATGTCTATTTCTTTAACTTGATTGGTGGAGTTCCCATCATCCAGGCTGTCAGTTGTCTTTGCAGAATTTAACTGAAGTCTATCAAGGTACTCCTGCAGCAAACCCTCAACCCTCCTTTGCAAGCTTAGTGGAATCACCACCTGTGACAACGGAATGTAGGAGATTATTTTTCTAGGATACAACCAATCCTAGTACAAATTGAAGTTTTCTACCCACCAGTTGTGGCAAAGTTATTACCTCTCTTTGTGGACGTTTGTCATCCAAATCTGGACGGTAGTTGGGAAGAGGTACCTTGCTTGCAACGACCACTTTTCCAAACAACTCACTGTGCATTATGATAACCAACACGAATAAATGATTGAAAACAGAAAGACGCAGATTCTTTAAAAAGTCTGAATATCTCTTAAAGTCAGTGAGTCTTTATTTTTTTTCTCTCATTTCACAAAGCATGAATTAATGTGTATTATTTTACCTGTATAGCCCCATTCTTTTGGCAAGGTTAGCTATCTGTTCATAGTCCCTCCTATCTTTTTTATCTCTTGATACAATCTCCTGGTCCTTTTCGCTGCGTAACAGCATGCTGAGTTTCCATTTCCACTCGTCTACATTGGCCACCGTAGACGATACCTACAATAACCATTACATTTTCTCAGAAATAGTAGCCCTGTACCAAAGCAGACCATGATTTTCAGAACCTACTGAGTACAAAAAAGTAGATTCCATTTTGTCCAAATTGAACCTTAATCAAATTCCATCTTCGATTGAAAAACCTCAGCATTTGTAACAAAAGTATTTGTTTTTACAGAACTGCAATTGTAGAAAACATATTCATAACCAGTTCATAGGTATTAAAATATATTTAACTTCATCTGTATTATTTTTCAATTTAATCATTGCAATCAAAACATACTAACATAACCAGACAAAGAGAACTTCAAATACCTAAACAAAAATAAAATCACTTTCACCAAAACGACACGTGAAACATCTAAGCATATGAGATAAACAATAAAATTTGAAAGAAAAAACAGAGAGAGAGAGAGAGAGAGAGAGAGAGAAGAAGAAGAAGAAGAACCTGCTGGTTCTCAAAGTCACCGTCGTATTCATCATCGGAAAACTGTTCGAGGGAATAGTAGCTGGAGAAGAGGCGCGTGGTGGCGACGGCATTCGCATTTCGTATGGAAGAAGGGAAAACCTTGAAGAGTGGCGTTGAAGTTGGAGAAGAAGAAGCGACGCAGTGACACGTGAGGTGATGAAGTTGAAGGGACTTGGCACGTGCTATAAGCAGAGACACTGCAAACTTTGAACTGCGCATCGTTGCAGAGGCATTGCGGTGTTGCTTTGATGGTGTCGCAATGGAGTTTGAAATGCGAAGAGATTCGTCCGGTAGGTCTCTATCAACCCGACCCGTTTTAAGTTTTGGGTTGTTTTAGGGTTGGGTCGGACTACCCGAGCGTGAATATATAGAATGAAAAAGGGGTATGCATAGGTTTTTTTTAATAATTTTCGAGGTATAATTGTCTTAAATAAATTTGGTATTATTTTTTGTCTCAATTATGTCTATGTTTATATAAAATTCAATCAATTGGAACCTTGTCGTTAATTGGGATAGACGACGTTAAAATTTCTATCTTGTAACATGTTGTCTACGTAAATGTTAAGCATGTGACAGAGAAAGCTCGTATAACGTGGTTGTGTAATTTAGGAATGAAAAAGAATTGGGATTTCATAAAATCCCTAAAGTCAAAGATGAAAATCCTTAAATGAAAAGGGTGTGTAAGGTCATCGAGCTTGTATTTTTGCGACGCGGGGGGTGAACGTACTTGTTCTTCTTTAAAGAGGATGTCGAAAGATCATTCTTATTGTTCGTTGAAGGACCATTCTTATGTGTTTATGACTGAGTAATTGAATTTTGGTTATGGAATCAGAACACGTTCTTGGGTTGATTTCGAGCATGAAGTTCTATTGTGATCTAGTTCCTTAGAAAGGCCACATCTTTTAAGTAACACACCCTTCCTCATTCTTGTATCGTCCTTCATTAACTCTCATTGATGCAACCTTCTTTTCTTCATTCATCTCCCTGGTAATATTTTTTTGGTGGAGGGAAGACATTAGCATATGTGGTAATCTCCCACATGTTGTTACCATTTATTGGATACACAATTGAGGAGTATATTTCTTCATATATTGACTTCCTAAACCAACAAGGTATGAAGTCCTATGCATCTAAATTGAGAAATTTCATAGCCAAGGAATGACAACATGGAATGCTAGTGATAGTCCATTTCCTGCATGTACACAAAAATTGGTCTATATTGACTACAAACTTGTTCCCAGCTTGGGACACATGATGAACTTTAAAGAGCTTGTTTGCTTACCAATTGTAAAGACAAAAGACCTGATAATTAATAATGAAAAACTTGACATTTTAACACAAATCATAAATAATAATAAATTAAGGTTACCTAGGAATCAATATTTAGTTAATTGGGACTCCTTATTAAGTCTAGTCTTGATTTTAGGACAAATGACCCCAGAAAATGATTGTATTTTCGTCATGTTTGTTGCCCATCTCTTCATCGGGTAAAGCCGAATCTCCTCTAACATGATTATGATTAGCTTAGACCTTATATGCACCATTACACTGTTGAATGTCTTTGACATGTTCTTTACCAAAGTATCACATTGAGATATGGTGGTAAACCTTGGTCGTGACCAATATCTACATTGGAATAGGTTAAGAAATATTAAGCAGGTACAAGTACAGGTTAACAAACATCCAAGTTTTCCACTCTCTAGCCAACTGAACTAAGCATGTACAACTAAATCATTATAGCATTAATCTTGGGAAACCATTAAACAATAAAACTAAATCATTACAGCAGACACAACATTTTGAAAAGGTATTAAAGAAAACCAAACCTAGGAGGAATTTTGATCAAGTATTTAAAAGTGTCATCGTTGAGCTCTTTTATCTTTCTCATTTCTATTTCCCATGTTTGTGGGTGGGTTGTTGTAGTTGCTCTCCACATCAAACGCTTTAGATGCTTTCCAAAGAACTTTTTTCTGAAATTTGCATAGGTGCCTAACATAGTATCGTTCATCAACTATAGGAACCACTTCTTGTATAGCTTGAAGTAGTCCATGTTATTTTAAACTATAATAGTGTGGTTAGAGGTTTGATTTCGATATTAATGTAAATGAACATAATGGGGTGAAAAGTCATTGGAATTGCCTTTTGTTGGTTTAAGATGAATTTAAATGATGAACATACTCGTGCCCCACCGAGGTCTTCAACCAGAAGTTCCAAAATCCATCTTCATGTATCCTTGTTCTCTACTTCCACCACGACATATGCAACATGCATTTGGTCGTTCACGTCTCTACCAACAGAACTTAACAATTCACCACCATATTTTCCTTTCAAGAAAGCACCATCCAGCCTAATAATTGGCTTGCATGAGACAAAACTAACCTTGCATGCCTTGAGACATGCATAAAACCTCTTTGAAATTGGTCTACTATCACCTTGTTGTTGACATTCACCACCAACTATACCCACAGTCTGACCATTAGGCATCATAGCTTCAACTTCTACTTCCGGTGTATTATGAGGAACATATTCTAACAATTGTATCACCTCAATTTAGTGACGTTAAAAGAGCGCTTGCTGGGAGGCAATCCAGTGATTTAAGAACTTTTACTTTTGGTTTGGTGATGTAATTATGAACTTTTGGTATCTTTTGTTTTGGTTATAAACTTGTTATAAGGTTTACCTCTACTGATGGATGCTAGGTGGTTGAGTATCTACTGAAGGATACCAGGTTTGTTTACACCTACTGATGGGTGTTGGTAAGAAAGATTTGCACTTACTGAAGAATGCTGGAGGATTTTGGGTCAGGCTCATGACGTTAAACAAGCGCTACCTTTGAGGCAACCCAGTTGATTTACTTTATTTGTGTTTGATTCTACTTTAGATGCATGATAGGGATGGAATGTATGAGTGATGTGAAAACATAAATGCATGAGGTGAGTGAGAGGCATGAGTATAAGACACCTAGGGCAAGCTAGGAAGAAGGAGAAGAGGTGCCGCAAATGCCGCTCAGTGGAAATTTCCGCTGAGTGCCAACACTACATAGTTGGGTGGATTGGTTTGGTTCAAATGGGCTCAGCGGGATTAGGCCCATTTGGGTATTTTTATACCCTAGGGCACAACTTTGCTTTTATTTTCAGATCTCTCTCTTCCCACACACTCTCAAGCACTTTCGAAAGAGTTTTCCTCACTTTTTCCTTCTTCCCCAAGGCACTAGTGCAAAATTTGCCTTTCAAGTCACCCAATAGACGTCCGTCCACGAAAACACCAACGTAAATAATTGATCGATTGAATTTTCGTAAATAAGTTTGACTTTAGACGTCCGTTGTGGAGGGGACCCGACGTGTATAATATTATAGACTTCGGGGCCCCTCCACAATGGACGTTTAAGCGGTTGATAGGGTAGTTGAAGAGTTAACTTTTTCAGCCACTTAAACGTCCTTTGGAGGGGCCCTGACGTGTATAATATTCTAGACGTCGGGGCCCCTCAACAACGGACGTTTAAGTGGCTAACAGGTAGTTGAATAGCTAACTTTTTCAGCCACTTAAACGTCCATTGGAGGGGCCCCGACGTCTAGAATATTATAGACGTCGGGGCCCCTCCACAACGGACGTTTAAGCGGCTGACAGGGTAGTTGAAGAGTTAACTTTTTCAGCCACTTAAACGTCCATTGGAGGGGCCCCGACGTGTATAATATTATAGACGTCGGGTCCCCTCCACAACGGACGTTTAAGCGGTTGACAGGGTAGTCGAAGAGTTAATTGTTTCAGCCCCTTAAACGTCCGTTGTGGAGGAGCCCCGACATCTATAATATTATACACGCCGAGGCCCCTCCAACGGAGGTCTAAAACCCCCCGCGAATATCAATATTTAAATCCAAAACACGTCATATTAGTTATGGCCCTGACGTCTATAATATTATAAACGTCGGGGCCCCCAGTACTAGACGTCTTGTGACATTTATACTAAAATGGTGAACCCGCGAGGAATTACGCTTACTGTTCATCGTCTTCCCCGCGATTTCACCATGCGACATTGCATTTCCAGGTGCGTTTTCTCTCTTTTGGACCGTTTAAATTTACTTTTAATCCGATTAAATTGTTCTGTGATGAAATATCTTTGATTTGAACCGATTAAAAATCGTTTTCTTTGTTTTTTGGTGCAGTTTTTTTCGTGTTCTTTGGCTTCGTTTTTGATTTTTTTTGGCCTATGTTTTAGGTCGTGCACTCCTCGATTTTCTTCCATTTCATTTGGAATCTGCTTTTCAGGTTAGCTTCTTCGTTGATAATTTTTTTGTATGCATGTTATTGGGTTTTTTGTATGCATGTTTTTGACTTTAAGGTCTGCATGTGTTATTGGCTTTTGAATATGCATGTATTAGTTGTGTTATTATAATTGTCATGTTAGATTATAAGTATCAAATCATTG